GGTTTAGGGCTTAGGGGCCTAGGGTTTTGGGGTTTAGGGGTTTAGGGTTTAGGCCTGGAAGGGAGGGTTTAGGGTTTTGACTTGGGAGCTGCAATTAGGTTTTCAACGTTTAGGGTTTCGATATTATTAGGAGGGTTTAGGGTTTGGGGATTTGAGGGTTTTTAATCTTTAGCGGGGGGGATGGGCGGGGGGGAATATTACAGGGCCTTTACAGGCTTTTTACTGGGTACTGTAGTATGAGTTGTATGAGGTGAACGAGTTCATGTTATTTCGAAAAACTTGTTATAATCGTCTTTGTGGGTGTGCTGGTTTTGACAACTACAAGCAGACTAGAACTAGTTATTCCCGCTGCCCTGGGTGCGTGCCAACACGGGTTCTTATCAGTGTGCTAGGACAGGGCTCCGAACATGTTTAGGGTCCATCTGAATATGTTGGGGTGCCGACTTACAATTAAGGTTGTGGGGTGTGTGCTTCGGGGTTGGGGGAATGCCTGGTTTAGGGATTACGGCGAATTCTCTGCAGATCAGGGATGGATTGTCTGTTTCGGGGCTTCAGGCTTAGCTGAGGTTTGGGGGCTCCTGCTTCTGCGACCGAAAAGTCTACCCTAAACCCTAAACCCTAATAAGCCCAAAACCCCCAAAAGTCTAATTTAAACTCCTAAACCCAAAGCCCTAAACCCAAAGTCCTAAACCCCTGAAAGTTCAGGCTTCCGAGGTTTCGGTGACATCTCCGCCAAATTGGTCTTGTGGTCCTTTTTTTGCGGCGGATTCCTTGAATAAATTGGCTTGGGATTGGGTTTAGGAAGTTTAGGATTTAGGGTTTCCCCATATTTTTAACCCTGGGCTGTACACCGAAAGCCCTCAAGCGACAAACCCGAAATCGACTAGTTCCTCTGCAGCGCCAGGGAGCATTCCAGCCGTTGCCCAAGCAGGTGTCACGAAGCTGGTAGATCTCCTTGCGCACAGCAACAGCAATCCGTGTAACTATAATACTTGAGTATCTGGGTTGCGGTCTAGGCTGCAGTTCGAGAGGATATACTCGCTAGGTATGTGGCCGCCTAGGTGCGGAGATGCTCCGATGCAAGAAACGCGAACTCCCGAGGTTTGTTGACAGTTGACGGGTTTCAGCATGTGAAGAAGGTCATGTGGAGCCTCTGTGATAGTAGTGAAGGGCTTCTGGGAGTATGTTGGCGAAAGGCTTCTGAAAATCTGTTTCAATGTTTCACCTTGATCATGCCAGGGCTGTGAAGGAATCGCATAATAAAGACCGTTGGCTCCTGTACGTACTAGTCTACTGCTCGAAATAGTTTTCATTACCAACAAGTCGGTACATTGAGTATCCTCAGATCATCGCAGCACCAGTCATCCCTGATCCATGATTCAGCTTGTTGGAGTTAGCTGTCTACAGGAACGGTTCTGTGACGATTTGCACAATGCCCTATGAACCCTAAACCCTAAACCGTGGCAAACAGCTCAGCTTAGAGCTTCGCGGGTTTTGAGGGCATGTCTGCAATCCTGGATAGATCTCTGCTCCAGAGCAAAAATGCAAACTCCAAGATGTCACTGGCCATGTAACCCGACTACACAGAAGCCCTAAGCCCCTCAAGAAAAGCCCAAAATCTCAATCCCCGATGTATGTCTGTATGTATGTAGGTAGGCAGGCAGGCAGGTAGGTGTATGTATGTGTAGATATAATCGTTTTAAAGAGGCTCTACACTAAACTCGTATACCCGTAAGACTTGGGGCCTGCAGCTCAAGCTTCAAAGGGGGCTCCTTTAAGGGGGTCCTTTAAGCGGGATCTTTAAGGGGTTCCTTGATGTGGACCTTTGGGGGTTCGGATAAGGGACTAAGCTCCTGAATCCGGACCCAGACACCCCACACGGGTTTAGGGTTTAGGGTTTAGGGTTTAGGGTTTAGGGGACCCCTACACCCCACACACCGGGGTTTTTGCTGGGTTTACAGCGTTTAGGGTTCAACCCTGTAGACCCTGAACCCTAAAACCCTAGACCATAATAGGGTTTGTAGCGTGCAGGGTTCAACCCTAAAACTATAGTGTTTGTAGCCTTCAGGGTTCAACCCTAAACCTTAGCCCTAAAAGCTTGAAAAGGGTGTATACTGTCTACGGCCCGGGTCCTGCAGCGGGTACGTGGAGAGGAAGCCAGGCTCTTGGGTGGGCAGCGCGCTGTAGTACCTTGGCTCACAGAGTTCTGGGTTGCGGATTTCGGGTTTAGGGCAGAAGTGTCTGAAGACGCCCGGTTTCGCAGGTTCACGACAGTTTTGCCGAAAAGAGAATAAGGGTTTGCAGTTCAGTAGGCTTCAGTGGGATTTTAGGGTTTAGAGTTGTAGGGGCTTCAGGCATTAGGGTTTCGTAGGGGATCGAGGTCCTAGTCGGGTTTTCGGCGTAGGGGCTCTTATTTTAGGATGAAGACTTGTGGGATTGCGCAGAACTGTGGTTCCCCGTGAACTGCCTCAACGCCGGGAGCTCCGAAGATTTATGGAAGCCTAAGATGATGAGCGTGATCGATTTGATTGCGAGCCGTGGCGTGAGCCATGTAGATACTGAATAGGGTTTAGGGTTTTGGGTTTAGGGTTAGTACAACAGAGAGAAAAGTCAAACCGTCACAAGACCCTAAGCCCCTGAACACCCATTTTCTGATCGGAATACTTCCCATCTGACGGTCCTGTTCTTCCTCCCTCTGGCCTTTCACCGGCACACCCGGAGACAGTCAGACTTCCCCATCCTACAACTCACGCCCATGGGTTATGCCCCAAAGGGTCCTAGGTACCTATGTAGTAGGATGTAAGGTCTCTATAGTAGGAATTCCTATGATGATTTCGGAAAGTATCCCCCCTCACAGTACCTAGGCCCCCTTGCGTTCTTTCTGGGGTCATTAGCTGTTTAGGGCTTAGTAACTTAGGGGGTCTTCGGAGATACCGAAGCGACCAATAGAGCGAAATGGCCGAGACATCCGAACCCTAGCAAGCTGAACCGACACTCGGAACCCTATAAAGCCTCTTAACTCTAGGCCCTAAACAAACCATCAACCCTAAACCCTCAAAAATAAACCCTCAACCCTATATTTTCATCCCTAAACCCTCAACCTTAAATTTCAAACCTTGAACTCCGGAACCCCTCAGTCTCTGCCAACTAAGCTCCGGAAGCAGAGGCCGCCAACCACAGACTTCGTGGGTTTAGGTTTTAGGTTTTATGTTTGAGGGTATAGGGTTGAGGGTGTGGGGTTCAAAGTTTAGGGTTGAGGGTTTAGGGTACATAGGGTTTAGGGTACAGGGTTAAAGGTATAGGGTTGAGGGTATAGGGTTTAGGGTATATAGGGTTTAGTGTTTAGTGTGAGGGTAACCTAACAACCTAATGCCCTGGTACACAAGCTCCAGATCTAAGCACCCACAACCCTGAATCAGCAAAACTAGAAACACCTCCGAAATGCTGAACCCTAAACCAAACGCCCAAACCCGAGTAGTCTGGAAGCCTAAAATATCCAATAGCAGAACTCATTACCAATACTGTTCCTTAGGGTTCCGTATGATTTTATGAGTATACCACCCTATTCTATTTACTCAGGCTCCGATAGTAACTAAAACCTAAACCCTGAAACCTAAACCCTACAGCCTGAAGCCTAAAACCCTAAACCCTAACGCCCTATAACCTGAAACCCAAAGGCTGCGTCTGTAGGATTGACCCTAAAACCATCCTAAACCCTCAACCCTTAACCCTAAAACCCCAAACCCTAAAGCCGAACAAAAAAACTCTTGTTGTCTTTTTTTTTCAACCATCCTAAAACCTCAACCCTAAACCCTATAAACCCCAATCCCTAAACCCAAAATGGAGACTCCCCATAGGCCCCATAGTAGTTCCTTTTTGGTATTACCTTATAGGACTCGACATATGAACCCCAAAAGGAACTACTATGGGGCCTATGGGTATAGGTAGGCCCCAAACCCTGAACCCTAACCTTAAAACCGCTAAAACCCAAAACCCCTAAACCCTAAAATCCTATACCCTAAACCCCTAAGCCCTAAACCCAAAAGCCAGGTTCAGGGACTCAGAACCCTAAACCCTAAACCCTAAACCCTAAACTCTAAACCCTAAACCCAAACCCTAAACCCTAAACCCGACTCGGAATCCTCATCGGACCTCTTTGCAGCCGAAAGGACTGGCAGAGCTCCTCCAGAGTCCCCTGAACCTGGCTTTTGGCTTTAGGGCTTTAGGGCTTTAGGGGTTGAGAAAGGCTGCGGTGTAGGATTTTAGGGTTTAGGGTTTAGGGTTTAGGGTTTAGGGTTTTAGGGTTTTAGGGTTTTAGGGGTTTAGGGTATGAGAAAGGGTGTGGTGTAGGATTTTAGGTTTTAGGTTTTAGGGTTTTAGGGTTTAGGGTTTGGGGTTCAGGGGTTTAGGGGTTTAAGGTTTTAGGGTTTTTAGGGTTTAGGGTTTTAGGGTTTTAGGGTTTAGGGCTTTAGGGTTTTAGGGTAGAGGGTTTTAGGGTTTTAGGGTCTAGGGTTTTAGGGTTTTAGGGTATAGGGTTTAGGGTTTAGGGTGTAGGGTTTAGGGTTTAGAGTTTAGTGCTTTAGGGCTTGAGGGTTTAGGGGCTCAGGGTTTAGGGTTAAGAGGTTTGCGGTTTAGGGTTTAGTGTGGAGGGTCTGACGTTAAGAGGTTTAGGCACAGGCTTTCAGGCTTCAGGTTTTAGGGTTTCGGGGCTTCGAGTTTAGGCTTCAGGGTTTAGCCCGTTCGGGCTTGGTTTGGTAGTTCAGGGCTGAGGGGTTTTGGGCTGAGGAGCTTTCATTGTGAGTGGAGGAGCTCAGGGTTCGAACTCTTCGGGTTCTGCCACACGCCCAGTGCGCGCAAAACACACACTCCTTCCTCCAAAACTCTGTGGCCAAATTCGCCCAACAAATCCCGAAACCCAAGACTCCACGACCCTTTCCCGAGAAACGAAACCCTTCTCGTTCAATTCAAATCCCTTCTGAACACTCTACCCTACCCCCCCAAGCCCTGATGCCAATCTTTCCCAACTCTCTTTTGCCAAAACCCGAGAACAGTCTTCAGCTATTGGTTGTTGCAAGTGCTTCACCATAGCCCACGCAAGCCTGCGCATGTCGATCCAGGACAATACATCATTAAAGTATTGCATGGCTTAAAGTCCCCTGTAGCTAAAACGGCTCCATGAGCCAAACAGAGATTTGCCCCTTCTCAACCCAAAATCTCAATGCTCGTTTAGAGATACAGAACCGGTGCGGCTAGAACGTTTTTCAATTTTACGGTTGGCCTTTTGTTTCCCTTTTCGTATGGGACCTTTGAGAAAACGCCCAAAGCGCGTTGCATAAACCCAACACGCTTCCGCATCCCAAGGCCGAAAAGGTCCATGTACCAACATAATTAGTACCACTTAGTAGGTATATTTGGGGCCCAAGAGTAGACATTATCGTAGTATAATATACTTTTGCGGCCCAAAACTCCACTTAGTAGCTTTGCCATTATTCGGACTCTTTGGGAGACACCAAACTGCTAGCAAGTTACTGTAATCAGGAAACCCTACTATTTTACGATACATCCTCATTGTTGTAATTCAAGGTAAATTCCTTGAACCCTAAACCCTAAACCCTACCTTAAGCCCAAATAACCTACCTTTTTGGGGACCTGTATTATATTTTAGAAAGAAACCATAATTTAATAAAGAACCCTAGACAGGTAGGTTCTTCAGGGTCCAAGTAAACCCAGCAAAGTCCTAAACCCAAAACCCCAAACCCCAAACCCTAAACCCTAAAAAACCCTAAACCCTAAACCCCTAAACTGGCACGGCACCTTCTGAGGTAGCGTCGCTGGTCCGGCCCCGCCTTGGACCTCAAGGCGCCCCGGAGGGTAGGCCCACAGTTGCGAGGTGACCCTGGAGGGTGGTGGGTTTAGGGTTTAGGGTTTAGGGCTTAGGGTTTGGAGTTTAGGGCTCAGGGTTTAGAGTTTAAGGCTTGGGGTTTAGAGTTGCGGGCTCAGGGTTTAGAGCTCAGGGCTTAAAGTTTAGAGTTTAGGGTTCAGGGGGCGTCTTTAAGGGTTCCAGTTGGAGGTGGGGTTCTGGGTGAGGGTCCCGATGAGAGTTCGGCTCAAGGGTTCGGCTAGAAGAACTCGATTTTGTTCGCCTCTAAACCCTACTTGTAGCCGGAAAGACCTACTTTTTTAGGGTTCCTTGTCATTATGGCTTCCATATACATCGTACCTTTCTAGGGCTCCTTGTCATGGTTTCTATAAATCGTATCTCTTTGAAGCTCCTTATTATGGCTTCTATATCTAGTTCCTTAAAACGGGGAGGTCTTTTCGGATAACGGTCAACCCTAAACTAGTACACCCGAATCCCAAAGCCCGGCTTCCTATGTGGGTTCTGGGAGGCCACGAGCATATGCGCAGGCCTTTCCACCTAAGGCGACAGCTTCGGGTATACGGGGTATAAGGCGAAGGGCTTAGGGTGTATAGGGTTGAGGGTGTAGGGCTTGGGGTTTCCGGTATGGGATACATGTGGTGAAACGAGCTGCCAAACTCAAACCAAAGACTATGCCAGGAACCAGACTATAGGGCACGTACCTGAATATTCTAGGCCTCGGGGTTGGCGACATATATGACCCGCGACATGTCCACTCGAAGCCCTCAACATAAAGCCGTAGGGAAAGAGAGAAGGCCTGTGCTTCGCCAGCACAAAAACGCAAATGCTGATCTAGCCGTAACCAGAATCGCTGAACTCGAACGACGGCGGCAACCCAGAAAACCTGCATATCCCCACAGTTTCAAGGCAAAGCAGCTCTTCCGATATAGTTGCCACCATGAGGAGTAGTGGCCTTCAGGGTTCGTTGTACACACTCACCATCGAACAATGCCAGGTTGACGATTCTGAATCACATTGAGACCCAGCTAGGACAGCTAGTGCTCGAACCAGCGACCCTGTTGTACTAAACCCTGAACCCTGAACCCTAAACCCTAAAAGGAGAACCAGCGACCCTGTTGCACTAAAACCTAAACCCTAAACCCTAAACCCTGAACCCTACACCCTAAAGGAGAACCCAGGCTAGTGGTCTGAGCTTCTAAGGTTTCGGGCTCCAGGATGAACCTCTTAGAGAAACTCCTGTTCCGTGATGGCCGTGATGCCGCAAGCAACGATAGATCCGAGGACCTGACACCCTGAAGCCTGCATCCTAGATTGTAATACGGGTTTAGGGTTTAGGGTTTAGGGTTTAGGGTTTAGGGTTTAGGGGTTTAGGGTTTAGGGTTTTTAATACGCAGGCCTTAATAAATCGAATAGGGCTTGGGGATATACTCTCTCTACTGTACTCATAAATCATAATAAGGAACCACCCCCAAAAAAAGCAGAGGTCATTTTTCGCGATAGGGAAGTATCAAGGCCCCCATATATGAATCCTACAAGCTGGCTACGACTTTGGCTCAGGATCTATAGGGTTTCCGACGACTGCGACTGTAGCCGAGCTTATGCAAGCTGCCTGCTGAAGCAGGGAGTGTTTTAGGGTTTAGAGTTCAGGGTTTTGAGGGTTTTATGGTCTTCGGGTTGAGGGTTTTAGGGTTTAGGGTTTAGGGTTTTAGGGTCTAGGGGTGTCTCACGCCCGGCTGAACCCTCCAAACTCAAATCCACTGGGGAGAGACACCCATTACCCTAAACCCTCAATCCATCTACAACACATCCAAAACCCTCACCCTAAACTTCAAAGACCCATACCGTAGGACCATACCCTCAACCCTCAAGCCTACACCCCAACCCTATACCCTAAACCCCACACCCCAAACCCCAAACCCGGGATCCAAAACCCGAAACCCCCAAACCCCCAAGCCCCGAAGCCCCTACCCTAACCCTAAACCCTAAACCCTAAACCCTCAACCCTAAACCCTAAACCCTAAACCCTAAACCCTAAACCCTCAACCCAAGGCCTCCAAACCTGACCCTGATTCGATAACTGCCCTCATAGAGACTCATGCCACCCTTAAAAGCCCGAAAACCTGAGCTGAAGCCCGACATAGTATACTCTAGGTCGAACCAGAAAGCCTTGTAGTGGGTTTAGGGTTTAGGGTTTTGGGGTTCAGGGTTTTATGTTGTTTTTGCTGCCAGCCCCTTTTCTCCGACAACAATCCAGAGTTTTAGGGTTTAGGGTTTCCTAGCCCCCTCCAAGGGATCCAGGTAACAGTATAGTCTATACTTTCGGGACCCAAATATTGTATCTATACTTGGACCCTTTGAAGGATAGCCCAACCTTGATATGTTCAACCTTCGGCGCGACGCTCTGGAAGCCACAAGACTCTTGATCAGGGCTTCATCCGGATCTAAACCTAGACAGGTTCGTGTTGATGCATGCACCTCTGTAAACACCAGCAAGTCTTGATCAAGCATGCGAGGCCTTTGGGAGGAACCTGGCATTTTGACATCCACGCCCTCAGCCCTAGTTAAATCCATCTAGACCTGGTGGGAATACCGGATGGCACTGGCTCAAAGACAATGCACGGCTCTGTAGGGTTTAGGGTGCGGAGCCATGCTAAAAGATCTTAATTACCTTCGGGGCATTTCTATGAGGTTTATTGATGCTTAGAAGGTACAGGCCCAGGCTTTTTAAGGTTTTTTTTTTCAGATCCTCTATACACCTTAAGCTTTGTAGTTGCACCCCTAAACCCCAAACCCCGAACAAAACTGGCACCTGATTGACTTCTCCCACCACGAAGAAGTTCTCCTTTCCGAGGGCATGGGCGTAGAAGCGCAGATGCGTGGACAGGTACGCCTCCGGCTGTTGAGCCACTAAGAGCAAGGGTCCTTAAAATAGGTTTGGACGGGATATTAGTGAGGAAGGAAAGGGATGAATAAAGGGCCCATAGTGATTAGAATGGGTCTGGTTTGGGCATGCTCTAGTACGGTTCTAACACGGAACCCTATGCAGTCATTCATGTTCGAACTTCGTAGTCTGCCCTCCGGCAGGCCAGGAAAGAAGCTTTCAGGGCTGGCACCCCCAAAGCTCCAACGACGTTTCTGAATTTCACTGACGCCTCTAGAAAGGAGAGCTAATTCCTGATCTCTGTTGGGCCAAGCTGCCGAGAAATCTGCGGTGATGTGCGAGGCTGCAGTGATTCGGTAGCCGTCGATGTCCAGTTCTGCAATCCAATACCTGCAGCACGACAGCCTAAGACCCCGACGTGTAGTACCCTTTCTGGCTTACCTCATGTCTGAGTTCTGGATCCACCGCCAAGGCCTGCATCCTCAAAATACATTGTACCCTTCATCCCGAAACTGCACTGCCAGAACACGCCCTACGTTCTCAGAGTGCGTCCCAGTCCTGGTAGCGAAGATGTTGTAGGCTTTCCCTAAACCAGATAAACCCTAAACCCCTAAACCTCGAAACCTCGAAACCCTAAACCCCTTAGCCCTGAACCCGGGGGATTTTGGGGTCCCAAAGCCCAAGCTCTAAATCGCGACCTGGTCCATGATTGCTATACCTATCCTTTCTAGCAGTGAGTGATGCCAATCATAATAGGACTTTACAAGTATTCAAGCTGGCATTTTTGTAACTGCTCGTCAACCCACACCCCCGAAACTGTAGCTCGTCCCAGCCACTTCAAGAGGTTGGTGTACAGCTCCTGCAGAACGGGATTCATGGTGTTGAGCTCGAAGTAATCGTCCTCCGAACACATCTGAAGCCCGCTTGTTCGTGTTGGATTCGGTCGGTCAAGCTTAATGAGCAAGAATTGAGCTTTGCAGGTTGTGTTATCGTATAAGTACAACATAGTCACTGTAGCACAACTGTGTATGCACGATGACATGGAATAACGGTGATATGATGCTCAGGCAGACACCCTAGTCGGGAGTTAGGGTGCAGTATTCACGGAGCGAGCAATCGAAGGAGGAACTTAGTTGGAGGGTCAATGACCTACCAAAGAATTTCCCCTAAACCCTAAACCCGGGTTTTTCTTGAACGTGCAATGGCCCTTTCTCCTCCGAAGGTCCCAGAGTTTAGGGTAATGTAGGGGCCTTTAGGGCTTTGGGGGGGAATATTCTACTATAATTATAAT